AATTTACTTTTATCATTCACATATATGCATTGCAACTGATCCCACTGATTGTACAAACTTTAACAAGTAATTGGTTTTGAAAAATATAGTAATGCACTTTAAGATTAAACGAGATTTATAAAGAAAGGAAGTTTTAAACCATTTACACGTGCATATAAAATCTAAATGTAATCCCTGCCTACACCTTACAAACTAAGGAGCGTGCTATTAAATGTGTAAATGTGAGAGTGCTATTGATAGCGTCTGCTGTCATGGGTCTGTCTCAGTGATGGACTGAGGCTGCTGTTGTCTTCTTCGCTGATCAAAACAGTGTCCCCTAGCGGATATTCAATGAATTGCACCTTATTAAAAATATTTATTCCGTGTCTTTTATGCATTTTCTTCACTTTTAAATGATCCTGTGGGGCCTGGTTGAACGGCCCGCGGACCGTATGATTGACACCACTGCTTTACATAATCATCTCGCGGGCCGGATTAAAGTTCTTTGCGGGCCGTACGTTTGACACCCCTGGAGCGTCTGCTGTCATGGGTCTGTCTCAGTGATGGACTGAGGCTGCTGTTGTCTTCTTCGCTGATCAAAACAGTGTCCCCTAGCGGATATTCAATGAATTGCACCTTATTAAAAATATTTATTCTGTGTCTTTTATGCATTTTCTTCACTTTTAAGTGATCCTGTGGGGCCTGATTAAACGGCCCACGGACCGTATGATTGACACCACTGCTTTACATAATCATCTCGCGGGCCGGATTAAAGTCCTTTGCGGGCCGTACGTTTGACACCCCTGGGTTATACCATCTCAACTAGAAGGTGGGGGATACTGTGGGGGATAGTCCCCAAACAATTTTCGTCTCTTTATAAACACACCTGCTAAACCCCAGTGGAACGAATAAAAGACGCCGTCAACAAGACAGTTGTAGTAAAAAAAATATTGGGCCAAAAAGGGAAAAACACAGATTGGCAGAAAATCGTGTCCGTCCGACTTCGAGTGTCGTCTCGGCTAACTTAGCTTAGCTGTTGTCGTGAGTGACGTCATTTGCGTCGACGCTGATTGGTTGAAATCAAAAGACGCGCTTGCGTAATGTTCGCGCTGAAGCACGCTCAGCAGAGAGCAGCGGAATATCGATTGCTGAGGCTCGCTTAGCTTGAGTGGCGTCGCCACAACAGTAATACCCTTGCCTCGCATTCTCATGGCCTCGCCATATCTTGGAGATTTCGAAATTTCGGCCAGAATGGAAGCCACAAAGGGTACACGTGTGAACACAAAAGGAAGATTAATCATTGAATGTCGAGTATTTGAATAGCGTTTTGTGTAAACTAATTCATGCGTGATCGGCCAAGTGCGTGCGCGTGCGTGCGTGCGTGTGCGCGCGCGCGCGCACGCACACACACGCACACACACCTTTATTTATTTATTTATTTATTCCGGAATTTTCAGAAAAGTCCACTTTCATCTCTGATTAATGTAAACAATGGCTGAACAAACCATTAGTCTTGATCTTTGATTTCAAAACTAGTTATTCACCAATTTATTGGGCACTGAATATGTCATATGTGGAGGTGATTAACCATTGATATGGTTTTACAAAATTCACAGTCATCATGGCCCTCTCAGGGAAACCGTAATTACAACGTGGCCCGGGACCAAAATGAGTTTCACACCCCTGCTCTAAATTGTCCATAGCTGTGAATGTGAGGCTTGAGCTCACCTGCGACCCTAATAAGCCATGAAGAATTGAATGGATGGATGATAGTCATAATAATAATGCTAATAATAATAATAATATAAAAAGATTGACTTTTTATTTTTTATTGATTGATTGATTGATTTTTTTATTTTTATTTTTTGTAGGATCTGGAGAACTATATTTTGGAGTTGATCCCCACACTACCTCAGCTGGATGGACTGGAGAAGTCTTTTTACTCTTTTTATGTCTGTACTGCTGTCCGCAAGTTTTTCTTTTTCCTTGACCCGCTTCGTACTGGTGAGACACGTATTTATAGGCTGATATATGTATCATCAGAAACTGAATTTGAATCATTTATAAAACTCACTACAATATGTGTTATATATTGAATTTTCTATTTATCTATTTAATTCAAAATAGCTTTCATCACTCAGTATAAGTTATGTGAAATTTCCAGCCAATCACAGATGCAACCCGGAGGCAGGCATGTTTGAACAAACACGGAAATAGCTCCATTGTTGACAAGATGCACTAAACATTTGCTAAACGAGCATATGAGAGTCGTGCCGAACGTTAGCTGGGCTTTTTTCGCGACACAATTACATATAAAGTCAATACAGTTTGTGTACGTAGGGCTGATTCTGTCCGGCTACACCAGAGCCAAACGGCTTTGAGAATGTGCTCCCACATCACATACACGGCACATAGCGTATTTTCCGGACTAGAAGTCGCTCATGAATAAAAGTCGCACCAGCCATAATATGCATCTCTTCATATTAGGTGCATCGGATTATAGGGCACACTGTCAGGTTTTGAGAAAATTTAATGCTTTTAGGTACGCCTTAGAGTGTGGAAAATATGGTACATGAAAGTGTAAAAATGAACAATTAAAGCAAAGAAAAAGAAGCTTCCCTGTCTTTTGAAGCAACTGCAGCAGAACATATACAGTAAAAGAAATATGTTGATGCAATAGCGATCATGTTTTTAAAAATAATTTACCAGGAGGACTAAAACATCACAAATACAGTATATTCCTTTTCAGAGCTAACTGAAACAACAATTAAAATGAAGAAAACCTGTGTGGTTTTTTTCTATACTCAAGGTACTGGTATTTTTCTTTTTAAGGAAAGATTAAAATCCAGGACATCTTGGCTTGCAGTTTTCTGGACGATTTATTAGAGGTAAACAGATTTTTTTTTTAAATTTTTAATTTTGTTTTATCCAAGATTGTTTGTGTGTGTGTGTTTGTGTGTGTGTGTGTGTACAATTTAATACCATTAAAGGGGAAGTCAATCCCATATTTTCTATTGAGAAGAATATGGGCGGCCATTTTGCCACTAACTCTTGACCAAAAATGACATCACAGTTGCTCAGCTTCAGAAAACAGGTGAGTCGTGATTGGTTGTAACCTGACACCTGAGCAACTGTGATGTCGTGTTCAATTGACAGAAAGAAAATGGGTGGCTTTTGCTGCTTAACTTATATTCCACCAACACAATATTAGAAAGTTTCGACTAGTGAAGGCGCAAAGAACATATTGGCAAGAAAATTATTGGGTTGACTTCCCCTTTAATGTGCATCCACTTAGTTGTTCCCATGCTGGTTGCGCTCTAACCCCTATTTAATTTAACTGTCAATCAAGTATATGTTTGTGCATTGTTTTGCCAATCCAACCTTTTTTAGATAAATTCTATTGCATTTGGTAAATACTTGATTGATTTGTGACAACCTTAAGGTTCGTAGGTTGTTTGGGCACTCGAAATTGACCCACGGTGTGACTGCGAGTGTGAATGGTTGTTGGTTTATGTGTGCCTTGCGATTGGTTGGCAACCAAGTCAGGGTGTTTTTCAGCTCCATGCAAGCTCACAATTCTTGACTGCGGGGGATTTATGGTTAACATTAGTCAATGCAATTTGAGAATAGACAACATGTGCAAATAGTTTGCAAAATAGATAAATTTAGCATTTGCAATGTGAGATATCAAACCCAAAACAAATTGCGATGGCTGATTTTGACAATGCTAATCATGTTGACAATGTTTGTTCCGTAAAAAGCCTTGAAATCGTTTCAGAGTAGTCTGTCAATTGTTATGACTGAGATGAAGGTGACAGCACATGTAGAAATCCAACTAATTCTCGCTACTTTTTCTTGCAACCGTATGTATATTTTTCTCACGAATTGCGGCTTCATTTGCCTGTCCTTCTGTTTTTCCAGTTAAGAGATGAGGAGTTGTCGAAAGAGAGTCAGGAGTCCAACTGGTTCTCGGCACCTTCAGCTCTCAGAGTCTACGGTGAGTGAGCATCTGCGTTTTTTATTATCTCACAAATTATTTATTTCCAATGTTTGAATTTTGTATGGACATATGTATGCATTACATTGTATTCAGTGGCCTTTCAAAACAAAGTCGTTTACATGTTATGGTGGAGAATCAATTCAATATACATCCTGGCTTTTATGCCTATATTCACTGTTATTTTTGTCTTTGTGTGACAGGGCAGTACCTCAACCTGGATAAGGACCATAACGGGATGCTGAGCAAGGAGGAGCTGTCACGTTATGGCAGAGCCACGCTCACCTCAGTCTTCCTTGAGCGAGTGTTTCAGGAGTGCCTCACTTACGATGGAGAAATGGTACATTTCTTGGACTCTTATTTTTGTATTTATTTATTTTTGGGGCCATTCATACACACTAAAGTACAGAGCCCCTAAAGTGACACGGAAAAAAAAAACAACTTTCCGTTCCCTCGCAAAGTGTTGCCGCCGCTCACATATTTTTGCGTTCCCACGTAGAGCTTTTTTTTTTTTTTTTTTTTGCAAGGGAACCCTTTTTTTAATGTGCTTTTCTGTACTTCCGGTTCATCGTCCGGGTAAATGAAAGTAACAAAGATGGAGCATTTTCACGCAGGTGTGTCATAACTAAATGACATGTTGAGTCGGGTGTGTCGTAACCTCCATGGCAGAGGTTTCGTCGAACCACTGAGACCGATTCACCGAACCCCTGGGGTTCAATCGAACCCAGGTTAACTCTTTCATTCCACAAGACGTACTTATACGTCTTTTTAAAATTTTATAAAAAGTTTATATAGCATTAGAACCAAATATTCTGTGGGCCTTGCAAGATCGGTCAAAATCCAGTAAAACGCTGGGATTGAGGGGTTGCTCCAGTGAAAATGGCTGGGATTGAATGAGTTAAGAACCACTGCGCTGAATGCTACAGTCCCTTGCAACCCCCCCAAAAAAGCCCTTTGCATTACCATGCAAAGTTTGCGAGGGAACGCAAAACAATTAAACTCTCCTCATCAACATAATCTTCATTCGTGGTTTCTTTGGCAGGTTACTTTGCAAGCACATTTCTTCGTTCAATGTGAAAAACTTGAATTCTGCATGACAATGAATTTCAAATTATTCTAATTTCTTGGTTATTGTTTTGTTCAACTTTTTTTCTTTTACCAGGATTACAAGACATATTTAGACTTTGTGCTGGCCTTGGAAAACAAAAAGGAGCCAGCAGCGCTGCAGTATATTTTTAAACTTTTAGACATGGACAATCAAGGATACCTCAATGTCTTCTCCCTCAACTATTTCTTCAGGGTAAAAAAAATCAAATGCAATCAAATCACGTTTACGGTTAATGTGTTATTTATATAAATGCTATTTATCAAAATCTGCACATAATGCCATATGGTAAACATGCATTTTGTACGATCATTTCTTGTTTGTTTTGCTGCTAGGCCATCCAGGATCAGATCAGAGTGCACTGTCTAGTCCCTGTCTCCTTCCAGGATGTCAAGGTAAAGTCTCAGACACAACCCAAACATTTTTTTTTTTTTGGCTCCTGTCAATGAATTTCTGACAGTACTTTCTGTCCAGGATGAGATCTTTGACATGGTGAAGCCTAAAGACCCCTATAAGATCACACTCCAGGACTTGGTAAACAGTTGTCAGGGTGACACGGTCACCAGTATCCTGATTGACTTCAATGGCTTCTGGACATATGAGAACAGAGAGGCACCTGTTGCCAATGACAGCGACAGCACAAACACAGCCAATAATGATGACTCCTAAACAAAGTGATCAGTGGTCCCCAGCCTTCTTTTATGCCATGGTTCACACAAATGCATGTTTTTTCACAGGGGTGACGCTATTAAAAAAAAAAAAAAAAAACATTTATGACAGTTTTAAAGCATATGAACTGAAAACGAAGGTAACTCGAATACTTCAATATTTTATTGACATGAACTACATTTTAAAAACAAAATGGAAAGGATGAAAAGACAAAATGGTTTCAATTTAGTACTTAACAGTACAACAAATGTAGTATAGAAAATAAGGCAGGGAAAAATTGTCCCCACAGGAATAATGAATTTGCCAAGAAATGTTTTGCAAATGGCGGCCCAGTGGTTAGCGCGTAGACCTCACAGTGCAGAGGTTCACTTCCAGCTCTGGCCTCCCTGTGTGGAGTTTGCATGTTCTCCCTGGGCTGTGTGGGTTTTCTCTGGGTACTCCGGTTTCCTCCCACATTCCAAAAACATGCATGGCAGACTGATTGAACACTCTAAATTGTCCCTAGGTGTGATTGTGAGCGTGGATGGTTGTTCATCTCTGTGTGCCCTGCGATTGGCTGGCAACCAGTTCAGGCTGTCCCTCGCCTACTGCCCGAAGACAGCTGGGATAGGCTCCAGCACCCTCCGCGAACCTTGTGAGGATAAAGCCGATCGGAAAATGGGTGGATGGATGTTTTGTAAATGTCATTTACTCCATTTTAATGTGGAAATACCACCACACAAGCGATGGTGATGGACTTGTCAGAATAGATAAGCTGCACATTCGGTCATTTTTTACTTGTTACTATTACATTGTGTTTATGTCTCCAACTTGGTAACCAAAAAAAGAGAAGAAAGGCGCGACTGGCTATTGGTCACCGTGTCTGGTCGAGTAAAAATGCTCATGGCTCCCTGCTGGCCACTGTAATATCACGGTTCTCAATCACATAATCAAACAGCCCTACGTATATTGACCTTTGGGAGGTCATCGACAGACTAACATATAGGCGCTGCAAAAAAATTACATCGTTTTTTTGTTTGTCTCTGTGCCGCACACCGGTGGTTGGGGACAACTGTGTTCGATGTTTGCACTCCTCAACGCTTTGTGGCTTCTGATCCTTCTGGGCAAGATGTATTTAGATCTTGATCTATATTTCTCATTTTCACTGTATAAAAGTACATGCACTTTCTGAATTTACCGAAATAAATATCCCTCTTGACAATGCTGCAGTCTTTAAGTATAAATGAAGTTCACTCTCCAAATGGGTCGATGTATGTATTGTGTGCTGGTGTTTAAAGTCCCAATGTGTATGCTTGTACTTCAAGTTGATGATGACCAAACTGCACCGGGCGGGCTTAGTGGCAGCAAAAAATTGAAGTTCAATCAAGCTCTTATGGCAGTTAAGTATCCGCGAGGGAGACGAAAGCTTCAAGGTCACTTGAAACAAACTACTAAACCTAGGACTACCATCTGCACGTCAATATTGACGATGACAGTGGAGCTGGCTCTGAAAATCTGTTTGAACGTTTGAAATATCACTTGTGTCAATTGTGAACTTTTTTTCTTCAGCCACGTCTTTCAATCTAAAATCAAGAAACAGATCAAGATGTGATTTAACCCCTTGGTTCAAAATGATCATTTGAAAGGGTCCGTTTTGTCATGAAGAGAAACAATAATAAATAAAGCTCGGGTCTACAAATGGCCTTCCGGAGTTGAAAACCTGGAGCACCAGCTTCCATATATTTCAGTGAAATCATAAAATCTGAAATCCACCACTTTGTTGGATAAAGACTAAAAGTTGAAAATAGCATTAATTTGAAAGCTCTCATATTGTAATGCACAAATGGCAACTTAAATGAAGGAGGGCCTTAATAGGGCCACACACAAACAGATGTGTGAGAAAAATGCCATTTTAAATCCTGACAAAACACGTGCATGTGTCTTGTTTTTTAATTGAAATAATGCATGTCTCGTTATCTTAATTTCACGCTGAACGCATTTATGAAAGATCCAGCAGCCAAAGAGAATGGCAATCTCTACTAGTGAAAGTGGTTAAGATTGAATGACTGTCTCTGTGTTGTATTATTTTGTTAGTGTTATGACTTCAAGTTGGCGCCGCAAGAGTGGCTGCCTTTACAGCAACTCCTATACTTCTTGTTCTTCTACTTTCTTCCTTTCATAACTTTGCTGCTGTAAATTGGGAATTTCTCCACTGTGGGACGAATAAAGGTTTTCTTTTCTTAAGTCTACTATTGGACTGCCTATCGTCTTCATAATAATGCGATTGCTTTTTATCAGTCACCAGAGGCAAAACAATGAACAAAATAGTGACATAAGTAGCTTTATTATGTTGAAATGAAAATCTGATGGAAAAACTGAAATCCTCTGGATTGGATGGATGGATGACATCATACAGTCAAGATGCATAGACAACATATAGGCACTGAAATATCTGAAACGGAACAACAAATCTGCATTTTTGCTGCTGCTTTGAATAGTGTTAAAAGACCCTGCTGCTGCTATCGTTGTCAAAAAAGTCCGTTGGTAAATGTATTTTTTTTTTCTTTAGAAATCAAGCTCGAGACAAATCGCTGATGCCAATGCAGTAAGATCAACCTGGTTTCCTACCGTGTTAACGGAATCCTGTTTGAACAAAATGCGAGCATAAAAAAATATTATTATTATTAATGAATAATTATTACAAATAAGTAGATTAGCATTCATCCTCGTCGCAAGTAAAGAGATTTTGGATTGTCAGGAGGGGAGAGGACAAGGTGCTCTGTTGTTGTCTGCAGTGTTGAGAGCCGCTTCAGGCTCGTGGTCAAAAGAAACATTGACAAAAGAAGCTCCTATCGCTTCAGGCTGCTCAACGGTTGCCGGAGTCGGGTCCTTCTTCTCGCTCTTTCGCTGCTCTGCAAATTGATGCTCTGCCTCATCAGCCAGACGGTTCTCCTCCTCTTCTTCCTCCTGCTGCGGGACCACATCATCGTGTAAAATACTTCAATCGCTGTGAGCCTAGTCACACAACAATAACAAGTCTGACGTGCATTTCACCTACCTCTTTCTTAATACGGTAGTACTCGTCGATAGCGTACTGGTATTTAGGAGCGGTAATACCAAAAAGAGAAGCAAGTTTCTCTCCCATGTAGTCACACACTAAAGGACACACACACAACACAAAATAAATATAACTAAATTGTCTCCGTGTCATCTGGTTGAGATTTGACAGAAATAGGGCGATTCTATTTCGCATTTTGCTCATTCTAAAAAATATATATATTTTTTTAAATCAACATTTTTTGTGAGAATAATTCTACAACACAACAAGGGCATATCTAAACTGTGAGATTTGTATTCTCAGACAGTGCTGACGCAAGTCTTTAATCCAGCACTGACATTCCAGCAACTCCAAACTTGAGGAGGTCTGCACAGAAAGAACCTGAAGATAGCTGCAGTGGATATACAGTAATCCTTCGTTTATCGTGGTTAATGAGGACCAAAACCACCCGCGATAAATGAAAATCCGCGAAGTAGCGACCAATTAACATATACAGGTAAAAAAAAAACAACTTTTTTTTAAGTCCGCAAACCGTCCGCGAGAAGCTACAAAACAGCGAGTCACATAGAGCAACATATACAGTAGTATACTCCATGTATATTTATAAAAAAAAAAGGTTTTAAAATTTTTTTTATTATTTTTTTTAATGTTTGAAAAAATCCGCGATGCACTGAAGCCGCGATAAACGAACCAAGAAGTAGCGAGGGATCACTGTAAAGTCAAACCATCCCTGTTCAAATTTCACATTTTTGGAATACTGTATTTAAAAAATTAGACCAAGATAAATCCTTTAATAACAATCATCAAAATAATATAAATGCATCATGAATATAACCTTCAACCTGCACAACTCAAATGAAAAAAAAAATCTAATCATTGAAGAGAAAATATAAAAAGCATACAATAATCCGGCTGCATAAGTATGCACAACCTCAAACTAATACTTTGTTTTACGCAGTTTTTATGACAACACTCAGTTTTTTGGGGGGAGGAGTCCATCAGTGTGGCCACTTTTTATGTAAATTGCCCACTCTTTCTTGTTAAAAAAAAAGGGGGAGTGGGGGCTTTTTTCCATCATTTTAGTGGTACATCCGGTTCTTAGCAATGTCATTGTTGTGCCATGTTTTCCTCAATTGATGATTTATCTTGTTTCATTTTTACTACCACAAAAACCTGGCTAACAGGGGTCTGTAGACTTTTTTATACCCACCCCATACAGATTGCTAGTATGGTAGTTAAATGTAAAGGTCCATGTGGACATTATTTAAGGGATGTGTTACCTGAGATAGTTGAGGTGGCCATTCTCCACATGTGGAACCAAAAATATGGGCCCCATGTCAGTTTCGACTAGAAAACAAACGTGGGGACAATCTTAGAACAAAGTGGCATTAGGCTTGTTTTCTTTTTTTCACAAGATCACCAGTAGAGATAAACAGGAAAAAATGTAAAGTCATCTTATGTTATGAGGTAAATCAATCTAAACCTGAGCACAGAGAGCAGTGGTTGTCTCACACACAACGTGCATTTAGTGCAATTTATTGACATGTACTGACTTACCGTATCCACGTTAACCACTCTTTTCTCCACAGGTTCCTCTTCCTCTTCGTCAGTACTGTACTCCTCCATTGTTTCGCCACTGGCAAAGTAGATGGTCCTGCGGGGAAGCTTAACCCTTCCCTGCCTCGCACCTGAGTCGCCCATCTCCACTCTCTCGAAGTCTTCCACCACGTCTTGACTCTTAACAAGCACATGCACAAGCCCTATTAATGTACTGTTTATCTTTTATTGTAGTACCAATGGCAATAGCTTTTTATTTCATTGTAGTAATCTCAGGTGACATTATGTCTCACGTTTCAAATATGCAGCACTTTGTTATATGCCCACGTAGGCTAGAACGATAACAAAGCAAAATCAAAAACACAACAAAAAGCCGAGGGGAAAAAACGTCACTGATGGTTTGAATTAATTGTACTTACGACGAATCATCCCAAACTGGCATTAAAACGATCAATATACATTATTGGGGACGTCTTCAAACGGCTAATGCAAGCTAAGGAAGTGAATCACAACATGTCAGTCGACTTCGATCAAAAACGAAACCACAACATAAAACGAACCCTTGCGTGGACTCACCTTATTACCTTCCATAGTTCGTCCCAATGAAACGTTTATATTGGTTAAATACAATGACAAGTCTGCCATATCACGAAAGGTTCTTCGAGCAACCTCGACGTTGTTACTGTTTATTGAAAACACAGATATCACATTTATGTAGATGCAAGTTGGATGCGAGCACCTCCGCCATATTTGTTGTGGCAGAACTGTCCCGAAAAACATTGGTCCGCAACCTTTCTTCCGCCACGGACCGGTTCATGGGGATGGGAAGAGTGAGGGGCTTGGTTCATATATGCGCCGTAAAAATCAATTCATTATTATTTTTATTATTATTATTATTATTAGTAGTAGTAGTAGTAGAAGTATTTATTTATTTATTTTGAACTACATCGCTGTACCACCCAATAAAATGTGTTTTGGGACCACTGTTATATTGACAGCGA